CTGTCATTCGGACTCGCGAAATGCAGAGCATCGCAAATGGCTATCCACAGTCGCTTGTTCACTATTTACGGTGGCTCAGGCAAGAAACCCAGCATGGCTTCACGCTTGTTCTGAATGATGAACCAACCCTTTGCACCATTGCCAAAGTGTCTCTGGTAGCTGACGCAGATGGCTTGCGTTTGCTCACCGGTTGCAAAGGAAGTTCTGCTCTGAAGCCATGCTTCTTATGTCAAAATGTTTTAAACGGACATGACAAAGTGCAGAACCACGTGCACATCAGTTGCTGTGATGTGCATGCTTGCCACTTGCAAACGCAAGACAATCTTATCCAGATCCAACGTCACCTCGAAACCTTGCTGTCTCGCAAGGAAAGAGAAGAAGCGGAAAAGCTATTGGGATGGCACCTGCATGCCTTGTCGGCGTCTATTTTAGTGCAAGAAGACCTCCGAAACTGGATTCCATTATCATCCTTGAGGTACGACCCCATGCACTGCTTCCTGGCAAATGGCATAGTGCCTCAAGAATTGGGGCTCTGGTATAATGCTCTTTTGGACAAGACCTCCTGCGACATCGATACAGTACGCAGATACGTTCTGCAATGCTGGACAGCCTCCAAAGAGCCGACCTTGGACATCAACAAAATTTTCACACAGAAAAGATGGCAGAAAGAAAGAGACTTCCGCGGAGATGCATCTGAAGCTCTGTCAGTGCTACCTTTGATGGTTGCATTTTCCTGCGAAGTCATATTGCCTGATTTTCCAGCTATGCTGCCCCACTGCGAATGTTTGACGGCGCTGTTAGCGCTGATATGCTGCTGGACTGATGCCAAACGCAGTGGAAACCTTCAAGTGAAAAGCATCGAGATGATACGGTTGCAAAAAGTTCACCTGGACAAATTTGCGTCTGTGTATTCAATCGATGTCTGCCGTCCCAAACATCATTATTCTTTGCATCTCCCACTGCAATGGGATGCACACACACTGTGTGTGGACTGCTTTCCTGCAGAAAGAAAACACCGTCTCTTCAAACGAATTGCAGAGACGTTGACAAAATTAGACGGATTTTCCGCTTCTGCCTTATTGGAAATGAATCACATAGACGTCTCTCAACATGAGAACCGAGGTTCTTTTCTTCCAGTCCTGCGTGGGCCAACTGCTCAGTGCCATGCCCTGCAGACATGGTTTGGCCAAGACGCTTATGTTGCAACCTCTGTCGAATGCAAGGGTATCACGTTTGCTTGTGGTCAATACAAGATTCTTTCGGCCCAACAAGCAATAGAAATCCACGGCGCGGTGGAATCCCACGGCCGTTTTTTTCTTTTGTGCCAACCACTGCAGCCGCTGCCCGCTGCGAATCCAGCTCTGTCACATTGGAAACTACACCCGTCCAGTGACAATACATGGCTGTTGCCTCTTGACAAAGCTTTCCAAACCGTGCCCGTATACTTCTTTAGGAAAACGCGCAAAGACGCTGAAAATGTTCTCACATTTCTACATGCATGATACCTGCGCGGAAAAAAAAGGGAGAACGGGACGTGCTAATTTGGCAATAATCGTGGAATACCAAAAAAACATACAAAAAAGTTATTTCTACTTATAGTGACGGACTGAAACTTAGAATGCCGCACCCCTTCAGGTCGCGCTGTCCTAAAGAATGCCGCCGCGGGGGCAAAATCTTAAAAAACCCTGGTAAAATGCAATTTTCGGGTTGCAGCAATTTGACCTGGTCTTTTTGTAATGAGTCGTTCGTAGGTAAATTTTGTGAGAATTTACAGCGTAATATGAGATTGAGTGCCACACATAGAATGCCTCCGGCCAAAAAGTCCAGGTCACAGCATGTCAAACATTTGAAGCCCATATTTTCAAAATACTCGGTATACGTGGGGTTTTATGTACTTTGTGCAGCCCACATAGAATGCCGCCAAAAACATATACAAATGTCATCATTCTGTTGCAAAATCTCTGTTTTTTTTGTGAAACACATGGTTTGAAGGATTATATAAATTTACTATTTCATATGAATAATTGTATATAAATCCAATCTCATGGGAGGTATCATTTCCTTTTTCCTTTCCTTTTTCCTTTCCTTTTTCCTTTCCCCTTTCCTTTCTCCTTTCCTTTCTCCTTTCTTTTCTCCTTTCCTTTCTCCTTGCTTTCCCCCTTTCCTTTCTCCTTTCCTTTCTCCTTTCCTTTCTCCTTTCCTTTCTCCTTTCCTTTCCCCTTTCCTTTCCTTTCCTTTCTCCTTTCCTTTCTCCTTTCCTTTCTCCTTTCCTTTCTCCTTTCCTTTCTCCTTTCCTTTCTCCTTTCCTTTCTCCTTTCCTTTCTCCTTTCCTTTCTCCTTTCCTTTCTCCTTTCCTTTCTCCTTTCCTTTCTCCTTTCCTTTCTCCTTTCCCTTTCTCCTTTCCTTTCTCCTTTCCTTTCTCCTTTCCTTTCTCCTTTCTTTTCTCCTTTCCTTTCTCCTTTCCTTTCTCCTTTCCTTTCTCCTTTCCGTTTAACCAGAACGGTTTTACACTTAGAATGGCTGCCAAAAATGTTACACATAGAATGCGTCCAATGGTTTTTTCGGGGCATGTGTTTTTTAATGATTTTTGTGCTGATTTCCAAATGAATTATGCTTTCCTTGGCAATTTTTGTCCCTCCCGGCTGCATTTGTAACACTTAGAATGCCAGACCAATCCTTTCCTCTTTCCTGTCCTTTTTCCTTTCCTTTTTCCTTTCCTTTTTTCCTTTCCTTTCTCCTTTCCTTTTTCCTTTCC